TATATATGACTACGACGAAGTGCACGATGTGTTAGCTGACGATGACCTCGCTATTGGTAATACACCAATACTTGTTACATCTTATTTTTAACATCTTATTAGTAATTGTTACATTTTATTAAGTAATAACGTTTTTCTATATATGACTACGTCGAAGTGCACGATGTGTTAGCTGACGATGGTCTCGCTATTGGTAATACACCAATACTTGTTACATCTTATTTTTAACATCTTATTAGTAATTGTTACATTTTATTAAGTAATAACGTTTTTCTTTTGTATTATATATAGACGTTGTGGATGCTATACACAACTTGAAGCTAACGGGGAATTAGTCAAAATGTCAAATAGATGTTGGAATCCACATATTAGACTTTGTTTATTTTTCTTTGTTGGGGAAATTTGAAAGTATATTTTGAATGTTGAATGTTTGAATGTTGGATAGTTAATGATGGTGCAATGGTTGTTTGAAAGAGAGAAATTGACTTCTTTTTTATAATATCAAACTTGTAGTTTTTCATATATTGTCCTGCATACGTTTTTTTTTATGTAGATTACATTCAAAAAAATAAACAAAACTCAACACTTTTACAAAATTACAAACAAAATCTATAGACCATTTATGAAACAATTAGTGCACACAAATATGTACTAAACAAAAACCGACAAGAACCGGGCATAAACTGAAACCGTAACCCAAAAATACGTTGCTATTTCTCGAAGACCGGTTCCAAAATCAAAAACCTGACAAAAACCGGAACCGGAACCGGTAAAACCGCCGGCGGTTCTTGATTTTGGCCGAAGCCAGTTCCCGGGCCTGGTCCGGCCGGTTCGGTTCGTTTGCTCATGCCTAAGTAGTTGCACATAATTTTTTTAGTAGTTGCATCCTAATAAAAAAATAAATTTTCAATTTTTTTACCCTTCTAAGATGAAATCGAGTAGTTGCCCGGGCCACCCCGGGAACCCTTTATATCCGCCACTGTTGTGGTTGACAAATTCAACAAAAATCAGACAACTTGTTTATTATTATTATTATAAATGAAGTTTTTAATTTTTGTCTATAGTTTTTAGTTTTGTTATATCAACTTTTTAATATGACGGAGAAGGGCCGCCTTCTTTTCTTTTCCACACCAATCCTTATTTACTACTACATCTTTTTTGGTGTGTATGGCTTTGGTAGAGATTAGACTTTTAACCTAATGGTCGCTGGTTCAAGCCCCGATATGCCCAAACCTAACTTGCACTATAATATGAGTACGAATGTCTAGTAGCGCAAAGATAACTCTTTTTCCTTTAGATTAGTGGTGTTGTGGTGTCTTTGATCGGATGGAAACATCTATCTGAAGTGTGCAGTGAAGGATCTTTATATTATAGGTAGCCAACTTCTAGGCCGTAATACTGAAAAGTCTCGTTCCTATCCTTTTCAGTATTGTCAATGAAACCAAGTCCAGCAAAAACACAACGAATATGGCCCATTGGCACATTATAATGTCGATATAGAAACTAGCCTACAAAAAATTCTTCCTGAAGGGCTTTCTAACAGCTATAGGGTCAAAGGTACATTCTCCAAGTAATTGTTTAAGGTTATTAATGAGGGGATAATTTCATACTAACTATGTATAACTAATATGAGGTATTTATTGTTGATACCATGTTAGATATGATCCCTTCGACGAGCTTTTCAAAGCTTTTCAATCTTTTGAACTTTTAGCTTTTAAAAGCTCGATTTAGTGAAAAAACCCCGTTCCAAGGTACAAATTTTAAGGATATAGTTTTAACAAAATGATCTGAAAGCTATGTCAAGTAGCTTTTAGGAACTTTTAACTTTTTGAAGTCTTTGACTTTTAACTTTTATTAATTTTGTTAAAACTGGGTAGAAAAAAGGATCATGTTGGTAATCAAAATATGGATTTTTGATAAATCATGTATGTTCAATTTTCATGATTAATATTTCGACCCTAATTGTTTGGGTTTCATGAAATTTAATCTAGGATAATCTATCAAAGCACTTACAATTCATGGACAAAAAGAGAACAGGTTTATGGAGTATATGGTGTATTCAAAGAGAGCCAAAATATGGAGTATGTCTTCTATTTATTCTCACAAACTGGATAAGGTTGATAAAATACAACTTTTTGGAAGTTGTCAATGACGAAGTTACGACTACTTTCAAAAAAATTTAAAAAGTCACCAAACCCTGCAAATCATCATATCAGTAGATCTCAAGTCTGCGGATCAGTAGTTTGCACTAACCATACTAGCACCCAACAGAGTAGCAGATTCGTAGGTCAGTAGATCAGTAGTTAGAAATAGAGGGACCAATTAAGAATAAATATAAAATTACCTAACTCTCCTTAACTTCAATAAAATGTATATGATTTCAAAATAAACAGATCCAAATTCCAAAGACCCGTATATCTAGCCTTCTCATGGCAAATACTTCTTAAAAAAATAAAATTCAAGTCCCGAACAAGAGTGCCCTAAAAGCATATAGCCACAAAAGCTTATATCTTTTTCTTGTGCGTATATACCACCTCACTGAAAAAATAGTCAAAAAGATTATATTGAAAGTCCAAATTAAATGGAAAGGTGCTTCGAATCCCACATGTTTCAACCTTAGGGTGACATCCTATTGAAAATAAAAATGAAAATATTCAGAATCACACTTTCGAGTATACAGTTACCATCACCTATAAAACATGTACAAATTGTTGAAATCATCAAAACAAGTTACCTAAAGAGGGCGCAAAAGCGAATAATTTTCAAGAAACTTTCGTTCCATAAGAGTATCGTTTTCATTTTGTGGGGTCAAAAACACCACCACTGCCTGTAGATTTACCAAATAGTTAGCACATCCAACAGTAAAAAGAATTCTGATTTCTTGGCTAAAAAAAAAGAATATGCATAGTTCCCACCTCAACACTATTCAAAGGGATAGTCGCGAGTTTTTGCAATGCTTCCTTTAATTCTGTACTGCTATTTATGGGAGGCAGTTTATGTCCACCTTTAGCAGCCACAATGATTGTAATCTATACGGTTAATGAGAACATGACTTAATATGGTAAGCTATATTGTAGTGTTTCTGATTGACTTAATGCAGAAAGAACAACTTGACAAAGAAAGTTAAAGAAAGACGACAAAAATACTGACCACAATATACTCTTTATGGAAGTCTTTATTTCTTTGATTTATTGTACGTTGCATTCTGATGTTGTTGACATTGACTAGAGTATCCACATCAAATTTACCCCTTTCTTCAATAGAAAGTTGATCAAATAGGTTCTCAACTTTCTCTATGCTCCTCTCATTATACACCTAGCAAATTAAGACCAAAATCCAAACATTCAGTGTTCCAAAAATGTAATAAATATTAACAATGCACTTTTGTTTCTTTATTACTTAACGTACTTAATGGGGATATGATTTCACTTGTAAGAATAAAAAGGTCATTTAATCTCGGTTGATTCGGTATGAAAAAAAAACCCGACGTCATGTATACAAAAACTTGAGCACTTAATTTAGTCAATTATATCATTGATCTTCAACCACTTTACCCATGAACTTTATGGGGGAAAATACAAACCCGTTAATTAGGCGAACTTTGTATGAGTGTTTCTTTTTTACTTAATCTAGAAAGAACAAGTAAAAAGAAAAAAGATTGAGAAATGAGGCAGTGAAGACCATACAAGTGAAGTCGATGCAGAGGAATAACCAGAGATGCAATATTCAGGATGCCGAAGTAGAGCTAGTGTTGTCTCTGCAACCAAAACCAAATCATTTTAAACATCACTAACAAAAATTATATAACTAGTAAAGAATCAAGATTAATAGAAGTTTTTTTTTTTTTCTTATTTAGATAGATAGAGCTGGCAATGGGTAGACTTGGTTGGGTACGAGTTCAACACATTTATTAAATATGTTGAAAATCTCAATCCAATCTAATCTTTTTAATTAAATGGGTTGAGATTTCTAGCCTAACTAACCTAACCTAACCTAACCTGCAAGATAAATGAGTTGATATCGGGTTGACCTATTTATTTTTTCTCAAACCAACCTATTAAATACATTGGTTGAACCTGTGTTGACCCATTTAAAATTTAAAATGTAAATAATACTAAAAATGATTACACCTACTTAAATAAGTTATAAACAACCCCAAAAAAAATTCAAAGTTTGAAGAGAATACAATTACATATACAAATAAATTGTTCAAATAAAATTGGAAATGTTTAATTTCTTAGTTACTCTACTTCTGCTTTCCCCAACTCCACTTTAACTTTGGGCGCGACTTTCATCTTAAGAAAAAAAAATACAATCACAAATAAAGATAGAGTGTTCGTGATTGAGGAGTATATGAAATATGCTAGGTTGAGAAAATAGAATTATATTTGTTTTTTGGGATATTAACTAAAGTAACAATTATGACCAAGATTGTTAACAAAAATGACCAAGTTTTTTATGCTTTGAAAAGATGATTGCTTTGTCCTAAATTGGTCATTTCAAAATGTATTTTTTGTCCGAAAATAAACTTTTTTGTCAGTCCGGAATGGATAAACCGGTCATTTTCCTAAAACACACAAAATTTGGTCATTTTTCTTAACAACCTTATTCATAATTTAGTTAGTTAATATCCATTGCTTTTTTAGATATAAATAGTCATCAT